TTAGAAAATAAGCTGATCAGTAAAATCGTTTCAATTACAAATAATCATTAACTAACGTGCTTCCAAATTTCATGTAAGCTTTATCATTTTGTTTTGTTCATATGCGCAAGGTTCTTGTTATACTAGAGAGACTGGATAGCCTGCAGGTTCTGGTCCTTTCACCACAGTCTTCTGGTGCTCCGTCCCGCAGGTCTGTCAATGGAGATCCTGAATGGGGGAGTGGAAATGAAAAAGGGGGACAAGGGCACGAGAAATGAAGACCAAGATAGTATATCTGATCAAAGTCTCCGTTTATTCGAGTTTTCCATACAACTATATAAGCAGAGCAGAAGGAATGTAATTGCCTTTGGTAGGGTTACTAAGTGACTAGAAATCACAGGATGGCCGACCAAGATGTGCTAATAATGGTAATTTGGAAAGTTCCTCAGAAGAGTTACTTAGGAAGCCCTGAGGGAGAGGAGGATTTAAGGTATTTCAGGAAGATGATCTTATCGAAAGCCCCAGGTCAGCCAGGAATGCACTATTGTATCCGGGCAATAGTCTGGTCAAGTCAGATGCCAAAATTTAGGGGGCAGCAAGGTGCCAGAAGGCCCCCGACAGGTTCCCCTTTATTTTATTTTTACAAGGCCATAATCCCAAGGGAACCGTGCCTGTCTTAGGTGGGAATCCGGGGTCTTCAACCCTTGCTAAGCCAGACATTGGATACATCAGCAGGGATTGGCTGAGCTCCTGTCTTAGGCAGCAAAACTACAGAAGACTACTATGGATTGCTTTACTCATCACTAGCTAACTGGTTCAGCTCACTGGGATGATTAGCATTAGGCCTATTCATAGTCTTGGCTGACCATCTCCAGTCTTTGATAGTGCACCTGGATGGGCTGAACCTTTCGGGCATCAATCTGCTGTTTAATAAAAGCCATAGTTTTATTGAAAACTATTGAAAGAATTATCAATAAGATAAGCAGGGGACCAAGGAAAGGAAGGAGATAGGGAAGGAGCCCATTCCTGTGCTGCTTAAGTCCACCATGAACATATATCAGCTGGAGGCAAAGGATCATGGTCCATGGAAACAGTTGTTTTTCTTCCATCATTTTGGTAAAGAGATATAAAAGGAATATGTTCTCAGGGTAATTCTTTTACCCTGGACTGATGAGTGTTATTATTATTATCTATATGCTTTACTAATCGTTCTGGCAAAAATCTGGCTGCATCTATCTCTTTAGAATTGTTGCAAACTGCTTCTCTGCCCCGTATCAGAACAGGATCTGGACCATGCCATTTATTGTCCAAAGGATCTTTCCATAGGACAGCAGCAAACTGTCTTTGTGTATCCATATACCAGAAACGTTCTGCAGCTGAACGTCCATATTTTCGAGTTTCAGGCCCTTGTTAATTAAAGCCTCACAGTACTTTTCCAGAGAACAAAGGAATGTAACTGTCCTGTACCCTGATCCTCTGCTTGGGCAGAGATAAGGAAGTGAGCAAGTGAAGACCTCCACTCCACAAAGAAGAATGACCAGATCTATGCTTGAGAGATAACATCACCTAGCAATCAACACAGATGGACTCAATTCTTCTCCTGAAAAGCCCCTGACCCTCTCTCAGGCTCACTCCTCAGAGAAGACAAGGATGAAGCTAATCATTCTCCCACCTTTGGCTGTAGCTACATCCCCACTAGCAGGAAATTCTGAACCTGAATTAAAGATCAGATATTCCTCAGGTGTCTGGCCAGGACTGACCAGACCTGAAAGTCAGCTACCTAGCCCCTCATCCAATTATGAGTAGCCAGGACTGCAAACCCTGAAATTCCCTGTGCTGCGTCCCCTAAAGACCTGAGGCTTATGTCTTTGGAGGCTGCTCTTTGCTGACTGGCAGAGTGACCTCATGTGCATTGGCCCCAATAGACCTCTTGCTTTTGCATAAAACCTCTGAGAGTTTCCTATGATAGCCTCTCTGGAAATTAAGCTCGTGCCAGGCTTATTTAAAAAATTTAAAATAAAAGCTGTATGGGATGCAAAATTTCTAGGATACCCTTTGATGGGGTACCATTCCCCCTTTTTTATTTTTTCAGAAGTATTTTTTATAGATAAATGTGCCCTTTGTCCTATTTTTTGTCCCTGTGGATTATAGGGTATACCTGTAATAGGTTTAATATTAAGTTGTTGACAAAATTTTGAAAACATATTTCCAACATAGCCAGGGCCATTATCTGTTTTAAGTTGTGTTGGAAGTTTTAATATAGCAATTGCTGACAGCGTATGAGAAATAACATTTTTTTCCAGCTTTACCAGTTTGGAGTGCGGAAAATATAAACCCACTATAAGTGTCAACAAAAACATGAACATATTTTAAATTACCAAATTTAGGAATATGTGTAACATCCATTTGCCAAATAACATTAGGTACAAGGCCACAGGGATTGACCGCAAGATGGGGAGTAGGCAAAAGGACAACACAAGAAGGACATTGTTTAAACAAGTCAGCTTTATAATTACCTTTAGTTAAAGGTCCTGGAAGGTTACAATGAGCTTGTAAATGTCCAATGTAAAAGGAAAAGTTCTTTTTTGTATCAAATTTTGAATTTGTAAAAAATAAAATTTTAGCAGGAGAAGATGTCTGAATTTAATTTGCAGTCTCTAACTTAGGCAAAGACTGAGCTACATAGGCACTATCTGTAAAAATATTTAAAGACTGTTTATTAGAACTTTAAAACACAGCCAATATTGCAGATAACTCTGTTATTTGCACAGATGTGCTAGACACTTGAAAAGATACTTTTTTTTTTTATCATAAGTATAGGCAGCAACACCAGATAATGAACCATCAGTAAATACCATTAAAGCATTAACAATTGGAATAACTTTTACTTTAAATGGAAAAAACTATAGGTTGTACCTTTAAAAACTGAATTAATTTGTTTTCTTGTGCATCAACAGGTTGGACTTTGTCATAATAATCTTATATTTGTTAAAATGCCATATTTGTCAGATCTCTGACAAGTCTGAGGGCCAGAATTTTTGAGTTACTCTTTGTTTATCTTTATCATCTGCTCTAAACTGCATCCTATAAAACAGGATGCCATAATCTCTTATTTTGCCATATTTTTGATGCATGTTTTATAACCAAATTTTAAGTAAATCTTTATATATAGGCAAAATTTATGGTTACCCATTTTAGATTTAACCTTTAAAAAAAAAGAACAACAACTTAAACAAAGAGACTAGGTAAAGCTCAATCTTATACTTAACTATAATTTTAGCATTTTTTTTTTTTTTCTCCTGTGCCCAGATATTTTGTTCTGTTGCTCTCCTTGTGGAGCTCCTGTCCTCTCCAGGTCTTTCTTTCTTTTTTTTTTTTTTTCATTTTTTTTAAATTTTTTATTAATTACACTTTATTCATTTTGTATCCCCCCATAAGCCCCTCCCTCCTCCCCTCCCGATCCCACCCTCCCTCCCCTTTCTGCATGCATGCCACTCCCCAAGTCCACTGATAGGGGAGGTTCTCTCTTCTTTCTGATCTTAGTCTATCAGTCCTCATCATAAGTGGCTGCATTGTCCTCTACTGTGGCCTGATAAGGCTGCTCCCCCCTCAGGGGGAAGTGATCAAAGAGCAGGTCAATCAGATTATGTCAGAGGCAGCCCCTCTTCCCATTACTATGTAACCCACTTGGACACTGAACTGCCATGGGCTACACCTGTGCAGGGGTTCCAGGTCATCTCCACGAATAGTCCTTGGTTGGAGTATGAGTAATTTTAGCATAATTTTAAATGTGCTCTTTTTAAACTAAAATCAAAGCAAAACTTTTAATTAGACATAGTTTATAAAGGGGCTAGCAAATCTTATTAATCCTACCTTATTGCATTAAGACTTAATAGCAAAAAAATTAAAGGACAAAAGTTTTATTTAGCATTAAACAGAGAACTAAACTCAGCTTGTAACCCTCAGCAAAAATGGAATATTTTGGCCATATCAAATCTATAGGCCAGAAAGAAACCACATTAATTTATTTATTTAGGCGCTGGGAGCCAGGCATGTATTTTATATAATGGTTAACAATGATCTGAATATAACCCTGCACAACCCTGGACTAACATGGAACTGCAGTTCTTTTTTCCCTTTAAAAAGCCACAAGCAAACATTTTGCATTGAAGAATCTCCAACCTTTTTAAATGAAGAACAACATATCTTACAGTTCTTTGTTAGACTGCCCAAGGGTTATTATTTTAAAATACTGTCAGTCGTCAGTCAGATTTTTGAAATATCGTCCGTCCAAGTTTACAGATAATCATACTCTCAGAGAGACATAAATAAGGAACATAGAAATCTGACATTGTCACCTTAGGGTAACCAGAATGCCCAGGCACCAGGACTTGATTGGCCTCTATGGAACACAAGTCCCACAGATTCCAAGAGTGGACCCTCTCATGGTCCCCTCCACACACATAAAAGGAGTAGAGCTCTCATGGCCCTCTACACAGCTTCCAGATGGAGAGCAGGCTCCAGCAGCCCTTTCTCCATCCAGAGTAGGGTCCCAGTGACCCTCTTTCCTGGTTCCAAAAAGAGTAGAGCTCCTTTCTCGGAAACTGGAGCGTCCTCCAGATTTCCTTGACCAGATTGGAAACTCTCCAAATTTTCCCAGAGCTCCAGATCTCACTATAGATAGTTAAGGAGCCCATGTGGTTGCTGAGAATTGAACTCAAGACCATTGGGAGAATAGCCAGTGCTAGCAACCTCTGAGCCATCTCTCCAGCCTTCGCAAGCAAACCAAAACCAGGAATCAAACAGACAGCTGGCAGACAAAAAACAAACAAAAAACAGAGACAAAGACAAAAAAAAAAAACAAAAACAAAAACAAAAACAAAAAACAACAACTGTGGTAACTGCTTTTCAAATATTTAAATATTTTTTAAAACCTGTTTTTGTAATATTAAAACATAGCATTTTTTAGGAGTGAAATCATAAAGCATATTTATAATTTTAAAAGTCAAAATCAGAGCCGAGAGAGTCCTAGGTATGGCGGCCTTTATGATGGGAAAGTTGACAACCATGCCTGCAGGTCTGATATATGCATCTATAAATCTACATCTGGCCAAAGAAGAGGAACCCAAAAAGCAGCTAGTGAGACCAGACCAGCTTTCAATATATACTGCACCACCTCTCCATTCCAAATATGTTGAAGAACAACCAGGTTATTTAAAAATGGGCTTTGCATCTATCCGTACTACAACTCTTCGTTATGTTGGCTGGTGCAAGTATGTTTATGTCTTTATGAAGAATGGGATAATGGATACAGTACAGTTTGGAAAAGATACATATATCTATCTGAAGAATCCTCCTCAAGATTTTCTGCCCAAAATAGGAGTGATTACAGCTTCAGGACTGGCAGGTTTGGTTTCAGCAAGAAGAGGTTCTAGGTTTCAGAAGATTACTTATCCTCTAGGGCTGGCCACATGAGGAGCAGCTGTTTGCTCCCCAGCTCAGTCAGTAATAACTGCAAAGATAACTGGGAGAAACACATATGATACAAGCCAACAAATTTATCAAGCCATTAAGTCATTGTGGACAAAAAGCAGTGAAAAACAATCACTCCCTGAACCAAAAGAAGAAACTAAGGCAGGAAGGTCTGGTAAAATACATGCCCAAACGGTGTCTTTGCCAAAAGAATTTGTTTCTGTGACAAAGATGAAATCAGAATCTACCTCAGATAAAACACAGTTTATGCCTGACCCTAAGCTCATGGATCATGGGCAGTCTCATCCAAAGGATAAAGATAAGTACAGCACTAGAAACTGAAACAGATTGAAGAGAGGGCCTGCATAGAGCGCCGCATGATGTACCAAATTCAAACAATGGTGAAAAATCATGTAACGAATGGGTAACTTACAGAGATTGACTGTAATTTTTCCCGTGACATTTTCAAATAAACAGTTTGGCTTAAAAAAAAAAAATCAAAAAAAGTCAAAATCAAACTTTAAAATTTACCAATGCAAACAATCCAAATTTTAAAACCAACACCAAATTAAATGAGATTGTCTTTTTTAGTTTTCCGAGCTGTAGGTTTTACCCCCTTTTTAATAAGAAGGGAGAGCGTTTTTTTTTTCTTTTTTAAGCTTTCCTCCTCACTGTCTGAATCTTCCTCACTTTCTAATGAGATGAGGTCTATCTCTTCTTTGGAAGGCTTTCTGATACCAGCTCTTTTCTCTCTACTATCTCTTAACATTGGTTCGCCTGATTCCACTGCTGCTGCCAGCAGGGGATCTTCCTATCTCACCCTAATAGCATCCCGAATGAGATTCCAATAGGAAAAGGCTGTTACGGGGATTTTTTTTTTTTTTCAGGCCCCAAAGTCCTGTAATAATCTTTCATAGCATCTCCCACTCGGTCCTAGCGCCTTTCATCAATGGTCCCCTCCTGTGGGAACCAGGGACAGACATCCTTAAGCAAACTAAAAAAAATCTTAATAAATCTTTTACTCTCACCTTTACCCCTCGCGCCTGAAGTGCCTCATTTAACTGTTTAACATACAAGTTATGACTGCTAATTGCTTGTCCCACAATCACCGACACCGCGTAGCCTTGCCGTGGCAGGTTCCCATGACAATGCTAAATTTCTCTGTCTTTAATCTCAGCCGGTCTATCTGACAGTGTTCCTCATGTTTTCCCCTGTATTCAGGCCCCAGGTTGGGCGCCACTTGACTCGTCCCGCAGGTCTGTCAATGGAGATCCTGAATGGGGGAGTGGGAATGAAAAGGGGGGACAAGGGCACGAGAAATGAAGACCAAGACAGTATATCTGATCAAAGTCTCCGTTTATTCGAGTTTTCCATACAACTATATAGGCAGAAGCAGAAGGAATGTAATTGCCTTTGGTAGGGTTACTAAGTGACTAGAAATCACAGGATGGCCCACCAAGATGTGCTAATAATGGTAATTTGGAAAGTTCCTCAGAAGAGTTACTTAGGAAGCCCTGAGGGAGAGGAGGATTTAAGGTATTTCAGGAAGATGATCTTATCGAAAGCCCCAGGTCAGCCAGGAATGCACTATTGTATCCGGGCAATAGTCTGGTCAAGTCAGATGCCAAAATTTAGGGGGCAGCAAGGTGCCAGAAGGCCCCCGACATCCTGGGTAGTACCACCAACCACATTGTAACTGTGACATGGATTGTTGAATGTCATTAAGGCACAATATAAGATGGTGGGCCCATGAAAACAAAAAGCTCAGAACAAAAGGTCTATAAAAAGAAATTGGCACCTTTCTTCAGTCTCAGGTCATATAAGAGAAACAAAAAATGACTGATATTTTAAGAGTCTGATAAATTACACAAACGAGTTTTCACTTAATTTTTATAAAATACATGTAATACAGTCATTCTCTATTATTCTTATTACAGATTAAGAAACTGAGGAGATTCTACATACTACGAGGTGACATAATTAGCCCAAGAACTGCAGCACAAAACTTTCTTTAAATTATTAATATAGAGCTACTCCTAATAAAATAGGTGCTCCTCCCAAGTGTTAAATTTAGTTACACTGTTATCTGTGAGATTAGCTACCACTATTATAATTGTCATTTCTGAGCATCACAAAGTGTACAATTCGAATAAGGAGACGACATACATTCCAATAAACTAATAACCTCGGTTTTGTGGAAGAAGGGTGTAAAGGCTTCTCTGTGCTGAGGATGAAAGGTCACTTTTATTCTTGTGCTTCAAATCAGAATTCTCTAGCTCTGAGCTTCAAACTTAAATAATTCTTTCTACACGCCTATGTTAGAAAGGCTTATCCTCTTCCTTATCTTGTCAACTAGACTCACATGTGTGATTTCAAGGTAAATAGAGATCAACCGCCATGGTATGTGGAATGCCAATGTGAAGTATAAATTATAACGTAAATGTGTGTGCCACTTTATTTTTCTAAAACAAAGCAGAACTTCCCCTTCCCCTTGTATTTTTGTTAACAATCATAAGAGTGCACAGCACCTAAGTCATATCTTTGTCCACCTTACCAGCCAAAGTGCATCCCCTCAGCAGGTTCTCTGATTGATTGTGGAGAGATTGCTTAAGACAGCCAAAAGAACCAATTTGGTCAAGTAAAATCAGTTTAATGGACATCAAGTCTGACAGGAATGTATGAGAAAGCACTGAGAAGTACTGAGTTCCAATGCCTCTTTTCATGTTTTGGTGAAAAAAAAATGCGATGTTGGTTTCACTACAAAGATTAGTGGCAGCTACATTGATCTGTTGACAAAACAGTAGCTTAAAAAGTAACATACTATTACAATTATATGAAACAATATAATATTTACAGTTTTTGTGTGCTTGTTTGTTATCTTTCCGTTGTTTTTCTTGGCTTTGAAGATTGTCATATATTTATACTTAACAATAAATCTGGGAGATCTAAGCTGCAGGCTCCTTGAGCTGTTCCAACAACACCTGAAACAATAGCAGCTTTTTCTCCACAGCATTCAGGAATTCTCCTGATTGTGATGGTAATGAGGTTAGCCCCTAGTTCTTTTCACAGCAACTCCTCATTGCTAACACTAACGTGTACACAATTCCTGAGCATTATTAAATATTCCTCCTTCAAACTGTTACATTCTTTTCACTTTATCAGCAGTTTGTATTCCTTGGCATTCTTCCTTGCATAGATATTAATGGAGGGTAACTGTTCTTACAAATATAAACAATATTTTTCTGCATGCACTTGAGTGTTCTATATTTCGTTTATTAAAATGCATGCTTTTTTCTATTCATTTTGGAAACATGTTTTCTCAAGCTACATTTTTCTCACCCAATAGAGGCTACATTCTATATTTTTATAATTATTAATTTGTGTACATAATTATTGTATACCTAAATTATGGAGTAACTTAAATAATTTTAATCCCCAAATAGATAATACATAAAGAAGAAAAAATAGACATCTGACCAGTATAAGTATTTTGAAGAAATACTTTCTCTTTTTAATAAAATTTTCAAATGAGTTTAAAGAAATGCAGATATTTTTAATTTTAATTTTTTATATTAATTACAGTTTCTTTACTTTGTATCCCAGCTGTAGCCCCCTCCCTCGTTCCCTCCCATTCCCAATCCCCCTCTCTCATCTCCTCCCTGACCCTCTCTAATTTTACTGATAGTGGAGGTCCACTTCCCCTTCATCTGACCCTAGCTTATCAGGTATCACCAGGACTGGCTGCAATGTCCTCCTCTGTGTCCTAGTTAGGCTGCTCCTCCCACTGGCATCAGGGTGAGGGAGGTCAAAGAGCCAGACATTGAGTTCATGTCAGAAATAGTCCCTGTTTCCCTTACCAGGGAAACTGACTTGGATACTGAGCTGCCATGGGGTTCTAAGTTATATCCATGCATGGTCCTTGGTTGGAGAATCAGTCTCAGACAAGCCCCTGTTCCCAGATATATTTGATCTTTGTGGAGCTCCTGTCCACTCCAGGTCTTACTAACTCCCTCTTCTTTTATATGATTCTCTGCACTCTGCCAAAAGTTTGGCAATGAGTCTCAGCATCTGCTTTGATACACGGCTAGGTAGAGTCTTTCAGATATTAATTAATTTGCCAGTAAAATATCCTTTAATTATTGCCTATAAAATAAAACACCTATTGAAGCATCTGACCTTAAAGTGAAGTAACATATTAATTGTATCTTCTAATTTTAAATTTTAAGTTCAATAATTGTTATAAATAATAATTTATACATACACATTAATACCATTAGAAATTTTCTATTTAGCTAATTTCCTTTTTAATCTGGAAAATCATAGAAATGAATCATCTAAAATTTTTATGGATGACTGATTCCTGCATTAAGTCCCACTTTTTGCAGATACAAAGACTCATAACCAAACCTTCGGCAGAGTACAGGGAATCATATGAAAGAAGGGGAGTTAGTATGATGGGGAAAGGATAGGAGTGCCACAAGGACCAAATATATCTGGGCACAGGGTCTTTTCTGAGACTGACATTCAACCAAGGATCATGTATGGATATAACCTAGAACCTCTGCTCGGATGTAGCCCGTGGTAGCTCAGTAACCAATTGGTTTCCCATAGTGAGGGGAACAAGGACTATTTCTGACAGGAACTCAATGACTGGCTCTTTGGCCTCCCCACCCCCCAAGGGAGGAGCAGTCCTGTTAGGCCACAGAGGAGGGCTTTGCAGCCAGTCCTGAAGATACCTGATAAAATAAGATCAGATGAATGGGGAGGAGTTCCCCCCCATCAGTGGACTTGGAAAGGGCAGGGAGGAGATGAGGGAGGGAGGGTGGGATTGGGAGGGAATGAGGGAGCGGGATACAGCTGGGATACAGAGTTAATAAAATGTAACTGATAAGAAAAAAATAAAATTAAAGAAAAGTCCCACTTTTTTCTTTATGCCATTTTAGTCTTTAACAATAGAAGAGATATGAATCAGCACATAATTACAAACTAATTATTTTCCTTTGTAACACACCACGTGTTTTAATGATTTTTAGAATGTGCTCAATGTATATGAACTTTGTGTGCAGGAAACCAACAGGTTAAATTTTATTCTTTAGTAAGATAATAAACGAAATATATTCAGTGAGTAGAGATGAAATATTCAGACAAATTTGTTCCAATGATTTGTTTTTTAAGATATATATATATATATGCTTTTACACATATAACAAAGTGAACATTCGAATGTATAATGAACATATGTGAAAACATGTGGATATATGTATGTACAATTAGAAAGCTCCAAAAGAGCTATAGAAGGCAGACACAGGAACAGCCACCTTCATGACCATGTAGAAATTCTAACCTTAGTCCAGCATCTTACGTAAATCCAACACCTTGAATGAGTGCTTTTCTGGATGATGGCTTCTACTTTGCCATCTTTCCTAGTTTTGTATTTTCACTTCTATTTTTCTTTAGTGAGAGATCTTAATATATCAGATTATCCACTC